ATCATGATTAGGAGTTGCTCTCAGCCAATGAAATATCGAAATTTTCTTTAGAAATGAAATAAAATGTTTTATATTGTCAGTAACAGTACGTTACAAACTGTTTATGCAGTATATTGTGCTGCTCAAATAGTATAAACCTTCGCAATTAACTGAAACAACGTTTCAAAAATGATCACAATATGAACATAACGTTTTCATAATACTATATACTACTCGGGAAGAATGTGAATATTTCGTTGTTCAAATACAAATGAAATTTAAACTTTCATTCTATACTTATGTATTGGTGAATTCTTTCTTAAATTAACTTTACAAAAAAGTGCAGCATATAATATTTGCTGCTTTAGATACGAAGCAATTTATCATTTTTCTTCACTTTCAGCTGTTGGGTTCCTTAGTTTGTGTTACATTAGCTGACAATCAATAGAACTGTACTTAATGAATCAAAACAACTATTAATGGTTTGAACTGATTTAAGCTTGTTTTTTTTTATCGGGGTCTGATATATGATCAAATTTCACCAAAAATAAGTAATATAAAATTGAGAATGGACATGGGGAATGTGTCAAAGAGACAACAACCCGACCAAAGAGCAGAAAACAGCCGAAAGCCAACAATGGGTCTTCAACACAGCGAGAAAAATCCCGCACCCCGAGGTGGGCTTCAGCTGGCCCCTAATATTTCGTTTCATTTTTTTTATTTCATATCAATAATGTGCTCTTATAGGTTGCGCTTTGTAAAAATAGCTGTTTCACAAACAACGCCTCTTTTGGGGAGATATATAATATTCATAGATATTTTGTTTTGTTTACCTACTGCTTCCCGGATATGATCTCTATGTTTCATTTCGTAGAGGCATATCTGGGAATGTCTCCAGTATAAATACACATGGATAGCGGCTAAATTGAATTCTGAGGAAGGCCCATAGTGAAGGGAGGGGTAGTACAGAAATTTAGTATAAGTTTAAACTCGAAGAAGCGTGAGGCATATAAATGTTGAAAATATGCCGCAAAGCCCTACATTTTGACCTTTGGAAAAAATAGTAGTGCATATGAACTTTCCATTCTAGGATATAATTTTTTAGGAAACTTCATAGTAAAAGTGGCACAGTTTTTGGCGTTAAATGAGTTCTAATGGGAAATTACATTGTCTATATTAACAGAAGTGCAACCTATACATAGTCTATAAACAGTATTTGTCCATACCTACCGTCGGTGGTTAACATACAATTTTATGCTCTAATACAATCTGTCTATACCTACTTTCGGTGATAAAAATACAAAACAGTGCTCCTATACATAGTCTGTATACAGCATCTGTCCGTACCTACCGTCGATGGGTAACATGCAATACAGTGCTCCTATACACAGTCTTTATACAATACCTGTCCATACCTACCTTCGGTGGTTAACATGCAATACAGTGTTCCCTTACACAGTCTTCAAACAATTACATCCCATACCTACTAACGGTGGTTAACATACATTTAAGTACTCCTATCTACAGTCTATAAACAATAATTGTCCATACCTACCGTCGGTGGTTATCATACTATACAATGCTCCTATACGAAGTCTTCAAACAGTAACTGTCCGTACCTACCGTCGGTGGTTAGCATACAATACAGTGCTCCTATACATAGTGTATATACAGCTTCTGTCCATACATACCTTCGGTGGTTAACATGCATATACAGTGCTCCTATACACAGTTCGCAAACAGTTACTGCATATGCCTACCGTCGGTGGTTAACATGCAATACAATACTCATATACACAGTCTATAAACAGTATAAGTACATACCTACTGTCGGTGGTTAAGTTCAGTGGTTGTCGTTGGTTTATGTCTGTCATAATTGATTTTCGTTAATTGTTTTGTTATAAATTAGAGCGTTAGTTTTCTCAATTGAATTGTTTTCATGTTACAGCCTTTTATAGCCGACTATTTGGTATGAGTTTTTCTCATTGTTGAAGGCCGTACGCTTGCCTATAATTGCTTACATCCACTTCATTTGAACTTGAGTTGATAGTTGTCTCATTGGCAATCATACCAAATGTCCTTATTTTTATAAAGATACAATACAGTACTCAGATACACAGTCTATAAACAGTATCTGTCCATACCTACCCCTTGCATATTCAAAACCTATTTTTATATTGAAACACATACTTAGATAATACCAATATGGAATAACTAAAATAAATCAATACTAATTTATTCTGCCTCGAAAATTATAAAAGTTACAAATATAGTTTTGTGATATTCATAAACAGTTCCTCGCGAATCGTGTTATAGTTCTTTGATTCTATAAAAACATCCATGCAATCTCCTATTTAGGTACCTGTTACCTTACGCTGAGTTACAGGTTTCCATCTGTAAAATAAAGGCAACAGTAGTATACCGCAGGTAAGGTCCAAAGTAAGAAAACTATATACTCGTCGTTATAAACCATTTCCAAACGGGGGCGTCCGTTTGGTTGTAATGAATGTATAAATACGTATCCACGTTCGCTAAGAAAGGATACGTTAAATCGATTGCTTCGAGTAGAGAGAGTGCCTCGCTTTCTGCAATTAGAGAATCCTTGCGTCAAATCTTTGAGGGGTCCGCAGGTAGCCTCTGGCAAGGCTCAAGTTCTAGCCAATCCAAAAGAGAGGCGGACGATACCAAAGGAACATATTTAAACAAACTTTTTTTTCTAGTGGCAGTCCAAATATCCGTATTTATCTCACTTCATTCCGATTGAGCTACTACAGGAACTTCATGTCCCTATTGTATTAAATTTTTAGTTGCTCTCTTCTTGAGCATAAATGAAATATTTGCCGCTGGACTTTAAGCAAATAGCAATCAATCATTTTCATGAGGTACTTCTCAATCTAAATATCATATTATTTATTTGTGACGGGTTAATGTCATCTTTTCACGGTTTATACCAAATGCATGTTTTTCTTTCTTTTTAGCATTCAGTTTTACCTAGTTCATATGACTCCGTGTCCAGCACGATTAATTTCATGGTTAACTAGTTTCGTTAGTGAAAACTGATACCATTCTTGTGTATAAATAAAGTAAAGAATTAACAAGAAGTTCTCAGAATTATTGAACAATCTTAATTAATGATGTAGGTCATGTAGTCATTTTCATTTTTATAGAATGTATCCGAATAGGAAATGCTTAAACATTATATTATCATAAAAAAAATCATATTACCGAGCGTTCTTATCAGAAACTGAAAATTTATTATGCTAGTTTGGTTATTCAATTTGGTCCTGCAGTTATCATAAACCTAACATATTTCGATCATTTTTGGAAAATGTAATTAAAAATTATTTTTTTAAAACATAAATACATTTATTGTTTTTGAAATTCTCTGATTATCGCTGATATGTAAACAATTGCATAAGAATTTATTATCCATTTCGATTTCTGTAAAAATAAAATTGAAAGTAGATGAATGATAAACAGTATTGTAGTTCTGGCTTTCGTACATTATAAAATCGTTAACTGTATGATCCTGTATGAATCCACATCATTTCTTTAATCTAAGCGTGTATAAATGTCTCAAACGTTCAACATATAGGTCTTATTTGAAAATAAAACAGTATGGAAACAATCATTTCATAGTATAACCAAATATGCAAAAAACATTCATCATGGTTTTAGACAGGGTTACCAAATATGCTAAGCGTATACTATTACTGTATTTTAAAAAGTTCAATTCAATTCAATTTTAAAAAGTTTTTTTTGAATTTTCACCAAAACATAATTTCTAACAATTAATATGAGCTAATGAGTTCTGACGATGATACACAATAATTGCAACTGCTTCCGGCAATCACACTCTTGTTTTTATATTCATCCATGCCAATCATCCAGTATACATGAATATTCATTAATACCCTCGGTGGTTAAAGTCTCTCGCTGGTTAACTTTAAGTGGCGACCGAATCATCCTTATTTGACAGTTTTTTCACCTACGTTTATTCATGATCTAGACAAAAGTTTCCGTTCTGTGTTTATTTTGTAGGTGTATCCTTATTTACTATATAGTTCCAACAATTTAATTTTGAATCCATATTGAATCCTAGAAAAATGGGTTTGAACCGACTTCCAAACGATCCTTGATTCTGTAATGAGGAGTACCCAAATTGCATCCATGCTTAAATTCACATCTGTAAAAATCGAATAACAGATGTTTTGTTTTATTTCTTCAAATATTAAGAACAATTTGATAATAGTCCATGCTTACTATTCGTTTTTAAGAAATGGATGCCTGTAACATATTTTAATTCATTGTTAAAAGATGACTTGTTTTGTGGTCGTCACATGGGGACGTTTCCGTAGATTTTACTTTTTGGAGTGAACACTGTATATCTATTGACATATACTGTGACTGTTTTGTGTATATTTAAATAAATTAAGCTATCATGAAAGACGTGCATAATGTCAAATCATGAAAATACAAATTGTTTAGTCTATAAGAAAACTTGTAAGATTTCCGTTGCAATTTTTGCTAAGTGGGTGCAATTTGGCTACTCAGTGAAATTTGGGTACAGTGACGTTAAATTTCAAATTAACCTTGGGAGTTTAGGCTTGACAAAATTAAATACCAAATGCAGCATATTAGCAGAATATCATCAGTCATGGTAATTTTCAAGTGTTTCTCTTCGGACTGAGAAGACTTATCCTTCATCGTTAGTGTTTGGTGACTTACTAAAGTATCTGTACTACTATTTCAATGTAAAACCGTGCCCGTATTCGCCCAGCAGACAACACAACATTAATTGTAGATTTTTTAGAGCTGCACGCGACTGCTTGCACCCACCAGAATCCGCACCTGAACGTAACTGTCAATACTCGAACATCAAACAATGAAAGTCTGGGTCCACACATTTATTTGTACAAAAGTTTGATTTACTAAGGTTTATACCATATATTTATACCATGCATGACACTCGACTGATTTGTAATGGATCGGCGACAATAAAATCATCTTCACTAAAACATTGACAGATATTTTATTTCTGTGTATTATGTCTTGCATGTTTCATAGTTATAATGGAAACATGTTAATGTATTTATTTTGTTTACTCTTGTCATTTAGATATGTGGGATGTTATGACTTTATACAGAATGTTCACATCAGTGACACAAACATGAATTCAGTTGTACGTGGCGAAGTAGCGGGATCACCTTGCTTGAAAACTCTTGTACAATCCGGCAGCGTTCAACGTTTTGAAAACCAGTTTTCCATTTTTGAAAAGGACAATAAAAATAAATTGATCAAACATGAACCAAATTCTCAACCAGAAACAACTATGCGAAAAACAATTACGGAGACTGTTCTCAAATCGCTCGATATAAATGTGAATCCTTGTGATAATTTCTTTAAATTTGCTTGTGGTGGTTATATTAAAGAAAGCAATCCGCCCAGCGGAGATCAGTGGGCATTCGGTAGACTATGGGATAGAATCAGAGATGCTGTCAAGGTGGAAATTCAAAGTATCGTTAAACAAAGTGACCAAATTCCACTGAAAAAAGCAAAACAACTATTCCAGTCATGCATGGATGAGCAAACCATAGAAATCCGAGGAGTAGAGCCTATACTTAAGTATTTGTCTGCCCTGGGTGGGTGGCCTGTGCTAGGAACCTGGGATAGTAAGAACTTTGATTATATAGACTTGTTAGCGGTAACAAAACCACTTTTGAAAGACTGGCAATTTCATTACCAGATGTCTGGAGTAATCATTGGTATGACGGTGCAAAAGGATTTTGGTGAAAAAGGTCCATATGCTGTATATTTAGACCAGCCTCGATTAGGACAGTTTGATTTTTCTGGATTACCAAACCAGGAGGTTTATCGACTTGGGAGACACAACTTATATAACAAGGCCTATGAAGAATATTTAGTAGATGTTGCAGTTTCCCTCGGGGCACATCCTAACATCGCCAAAAAGGATATGTGTGATGTTGTAGAATTTGAAACTGCATTAGCAAAAATAATGTTAATCGAGGAAGAGAGAAGACTAGTAAATATTCGATATAATAAGATAACTATTCTTGAAATGTCAATAAGGTATCCAAAAATTGACTGGCTACGGTTTTTAAGGAAAATTCTGGCCATAGAAAATATCCATGTAACTTATCAAACTGAGGTTATCTTATGGGCTTCTCCCTACTTCGATCAGTTGAGCTCAATTATCACTAAAACATCAAAACGAACTTTGGCTAATTATATTTTATTCCGAGCGATTCAGCCTTTGTTGCCAAGTGTAAGTAAAAATCTACAATATGTGAATCTCCGATACATTGCGACTGTCAACGGATTAAGTGAACCAAAGTTACCAAAAAGGTCTGACTTTTGTACTGATATAGTTATTGAACAGATGGACTGGGTGACAAGTCGAATATTCAAAGAAAATAAAACAGATTCGGATCAAACGCTCTCATACGTAAAAGAGATAAGAGGATATGTTCGGTTTATTTTTACAGATATGATAAGTAAATCAAAATGGTTGTCAGACAGAACAAAATCACAAGTTCTGAAAAAAATGCAATCAATTAGAGACAAATTAGGATACCCAGAAGAAGTTTTACAAGACAGTTTTCTAAATTTTTACTACCGACATTTTGATATGGGACAATATTTTTTTGAAAACATGGTGGAATCATTAACGGAAAATTATAAAGTTGTACTGTTAAAACTTACAAACCCACCTAAGAATGAATGGCTCCTCCGTCCTGGGACAGTAAATGCATTGCATAATTTGGGTACAACAGCCATTGAAATACCATTGGGAGTAATGAGTGACCCTTTCTTCGAAAACTATTATTCACCTGGAATGAATTTTGGCGGCATTGGATTTTTAATTGGACACGAATACGCCCATGGATTTGAAGTTACAGGAATGAAATTTGACTGGAAGGGTTTAATTCGACGATATTGGTCCGATAAATCTGCGTTAAAGTTTCGAGATAAAGCTGACTGTTATGTACGTCAATACTCGCAATATTATATACCGGAAGTCGATTTAAATGTTACAAATGGAAATAAAACATTAAATGAAAATATGTGTGACAATTTAGGCGTAAGAGCAGCATTTTATGCATATAAAAAGTTTAAGCACGATAGAAACATAAGTGAGAAAGTGCCAGGACTACCGTTTAACGACGACCAACTGTTTTTCATAAATATGGCAAGAGTATGGTGTTCTAACTCATCACCTTTATTTATCAGAAAAGTGCCTTTACTTGATCATCACACTCTCCCTAGGTTAAGAGTGATTGGTCCACTTCAAAACAGCCCAGAATTCGCATCAACATTTCAGTGTCCAAGAGGTTCATTTATGAATCCTATAAACAAATGTGGGTTTTGGTAGACAGTTTATATTAGCAATAGCATTAAAATGCGAGATATTTATTAAAATATGATTGTAATTAATCAGTTACAAATAAAATCATTCAATAATAGCTTGATTTGTTTGACCCCATTTGTTTGTTTCTTCATCAAAATTTGTTGCCTCTTATCACTCCTAAGGAAAATACCACTTTCAACACTCGAAATGACTGCAGTAGTAACCCATAGTTTAAACATTAAGCAAACAACTTCAGTTTCAGTTTCAGCTATATACATAACATTATATAATCAAAACACCCGAAAAATGCACGGTAAAATGTTTTATATTATCACATAATATAGCTACATTTAAAAAATAAACGTCCTATTTAGATAAATTTTGCAAGTAATCAACAGATGATCGAGATTATCTTCGTCAAAGTAATTTTTAAAGAACAAAGGAGTAAAATATCATCGAGTTTATTGATATATTATAAATTACTTGATTTGGGCAGAGCATTTTAGTGGAACTATGAGTAATAAAGTTTCTTGTACAATAAATTTCGTTTCAAGCCATATTACAATTTTTTTCTCAGGTTAGAGTGAAGTGGTTTTTTGGGGCCTATATATTGGGGAGTTTTGGAAGTGTCTATGGGCCATTCGATATCCTCGGAATCAAGATTCTCGGAACGTCTCGAAAATTTCATTTAAACAGGTAGTTGTCTATGTCTTTGATACGGTCCATCTATGGATAGGCTACCACGTGACATTGTATATTTTAACAATCAAAGTTCATAATTTTGTAGATTGGAAAGTAAAACAATTAGGACTAGGTTGCAGTCAAAAAATCATTTATATGTAAGAACCTTTTTGCCTTATGACAAAACATTTATGTTTTTAATAATGTGAATGTTTATTAGATAGAAAGTATATGATAACGCAATTATATAATTCATGCTTTGAGACGGTCCCTGTACGCGTAGTGTGTAGAGTATTTAATTCAGCGTGCTGTTATGCATTGTGACAATAAACCTAAGAATAGTTTATTGATATATAATGTCACAGAATAAACTGATTATTTCTGAACGTTTATTATCTAATATTTTGTATTTCAATCATAGCATGGGAAAATGTCGGAAAGCATGAAGAAAATTAAGAAAACGATATTTCTGTTTAAAATATTCATCTTAGGTCGGAAACACAGTGGTCTTAAAGCAGACAGATAATGAAACAAAAAGATTTTCTGTCAAAAATATCTAATTTCATTAAAAGATATTACCAGACTAAGAGAATATTCATTTTTAAGTTTAAACTGAGACTGAATTTATTCTTAATAGAATATAATTAAAATTGTCATATATACGTGCATTATATCTCACAGGTTTGAACAGTCATTACATTTATGAAAATTATATGCAACGTATGAGCACCAATGAGCAGGGATGCGTACCCAAAGTTAGTTAAATATCTAAATTTTAAACGGTCGTGAATGAAAAAATACTTGCATGGTTTCAATTCACATCTCACAAAAAACGTAATTAATATTTTACAATAATCATAACAAAATTTAATTATTATCATTATGTTAATTATTTTATACTGTTTTAGTACGGATTGATAAGTCTTATATTTTGTATAGCAATATATACAATATATATTTATAAAAGAGATTGATTTGATAAATAAAATGTCCATCCGTAAATACTTGACGTTTGTGTTTATTGATATTATATTATAATTTTTTAGAAAAAAATCATTAACAGGAATGCATGTAAATTATAAAATTTCAATTTTTTGTTTGTTTGTTTGTTTTAATAGTTCAACCTTATAGCATCTAAATATTTGTACTATGGTACGATTTTGAAAATTGTGTTCATTATGTTGACCAGCTATCCAACACGTCTTGATTCATTCACGTTATACATCACTCTGTTCATACGCACACTATCGGTTTGCGTTCACAAAAATTCCGGATAAAATGTCAATGAATCCGGAGTCAAAACACTTGAGGTAGGTAGTTTGACAGCCGAATTCAACTATTAGATTAATATATGTGATGATGCAAATGCGTATTCTTATCGAGTATCAGTGCGTAAGCTTTCTATTTACTATTTCTTGCGCAAAATTCAACGTGCATGCATAAATATTAATTTCACTCGTGAATGCGATTTTTCGCTTTTCTTATCTTAATTCAGGACTCGGTAGTAAGAGCTTGGCAAGTGACTTTCAAGCACGGTCATCATTACTTACGGTATTCTGACCTCTAGCTGTTTCTCTTTTTGTATTCTTTTTTGAGTCACTGTCCTATTATGAACTTTGAAATTTTCGAAATGCTAAGGATTTTTTACCCAAGGAATAGATTATTTAACTTTTGGCCTTTTTAACTTTTTTATTCGAGCGTCACTGATGATTCTTTGTAGACTTAACTTGCGTCTTGCGTACAACAAATTAATCCTGGTATATTTTTATATCTACATATCTTTTTATATAAATTGGTTCTTTTGAGAGAATGTTCAGGTATTCATAAAACTTCTGAAAATAAGGTATTCTTCAAAACCAAGTTTTCCTGTAGAATATTTGGATTGATTTAAGTAAAATCAGGAAATCTTTAAAATTTGAGATGCCAAAATAAGTCTCTATATAAGAGATCCCAATGGAGCTAGTGTGTTAATCTCAAGAAAAATATACGAAACCTTCTTGTAAGTTGCTTGCCACAGGATTTCACTTATATACAATATCTACAATGAGCACATACAGCTTCAATAACGAGATGAAGATATGATAGATAAAATAAATGCATCCGAATTATAAAGTAAAATGATTGTTTAAATCTATATTGCGATTGGTTTGTGTAATTTGCATTAAACATCCGGTTTGTAGAAACTGGTATTTGCAAAAAGGTTATGAAAAATGATGTACATTACATAGTGATAAATAAAAAAAGTCGAGCCTTAAAATGTATATTCAAATAGCAGCTGTATATATACACTTTTCTAATCACAACTATCCAACATTGCTTTCAATTGACTTGTGCAAGAATCTACACACAATTACATATTTTAATGAAGGTGTGTTAATTATCTTATTCTATTCAAAGTCAATTATTTCAATTCGAAAGAAAACAAAATTTCAGCAACATTTTTTTTTGGTGAGCAGTCAGCGGTCTTTGGTTCACGTATTGCTTTTCTTTTTTTAAAATAGCAACTTGTTTTGAATTGCGCGAATCTGAAAGCATCTACATAAACTCATCATAAATACCAAAATTAAAATTTTGTACGCCAGACGCTCGTTCCCTCTTCAAAAGACTCATCTGTGACGCTCGAATAAAAAAAAGTAAAAAAGGCAAAATAATGTACGAAGAAGCACAAAGTAAAAAGACATAAAACCATATCTTCAGATATGTTGCGTCTCGTTTGAATTATTTTACATTTTGTCATGTCGGGGCTTTAATAGCCTACTAACATAATGGGATTTGCTCATTGTTGTAGGCCATGAAGTTGCTTACATCAAAGTCGTTTTTACTGATGGACAGTCACTATTGTATTTATACTACATCATCTTCAATGTTTATGTTTTTGTTTACTGGTTTTAAAAAGAGTTCAATCAGGTATCATGGAATATAAGATCTAAACTACATCCTGTAACATTCATCTTTCACTACATAGGTTATGTGCCGTCGAATATATACATTTCTAAAGATAACCGAAGCTCGTCAATCCCAATGAACGAAATATCTAGTACATTACGACAATTTGTAATTCCCTAAACTTTGAAGCATCGAAAGGCAAACAAGTTTTAAGACATAAATGATTTTCTAAGTGGTAAAATTCCCCTTTTTTTGTAGAAACAAGTTTGCATCATACAGATCAATATCACAGAAATTTCTAAATCGTGAGCTGTCGCGGTTTATTTGGTCAACTTCAAGTGAAATAATAAAAAGAAGGATAAAATAATAGTCTATGGCACTTTATTTTACATCGTTTATCCGAAATGGGTTATAAACGAAGCCGAATAATTAATATAAAGTTTGCAACTTAAGGATCAGAATACAACCATTTCTAAAGTACCTGATATAATTCCGGTTTTGCATTTTCTTCGTCTTGTTATTATCAAACTGAAGTAATGAACGAGTATTATTCACGATTTCATAAAGTAAGAAAAAACAGACACATTTGGCATATATAAGAAACTATACCATGAAACTTCACTTATTGTTATGATTTGTCTAAAAAAACTGCTTTCCATATTTTTTAAATCAATAATTACATTTCTATATAAGCTACGATATAATGTTACTTATGAAAATGAATGCAGTGTATAGATTCCGTTTAATTTTAATTTCAATTTTTTGTCCAGCTTGTTTTTTCTATAAAAATGCCATTTAATGTCAAAACGTTTTTCATACATTATGGTTATATAATATTTTGATATACTAGTACATTTTATGCGAAGCTAGTTGATCATTTTCACTCTAAAAAGCTTGTGAAATAAATTGCTACAGGCAATTCACTATATAGACTAGCTATAAACGACTACATTAAACTTGTTTTGAGACCTATGGAAGCATTAAATGTCCTAAATAATTTGTTTGAACATAAAAAAAATCTACATATATTTCTTATGAAGTTAGCAGAACTAGGGAAATCTTCGTTGTAAAGAAAAGGAGAAAAAGAAGATTACTTATGCGAATTTTCGTGTTTATTTCATTCTCTTTCTATTTCAATTAAGTAAATTCCACTACATCAATCCTAATAGGTTTTCTGGACATTTGATACCTTTTCCGAAAATTGATAAACTGTCTGACACATTCAGGAAACCAATCCGCCATATTTCATGACTCTTGTACAGTTAGAAAGTGGTGAACTTGAAATTAAGGATACTACTGATACTAGAAGGACTGCTTCGTACCTTGATCTTTTCCTCAATATTGACACAGATGGACGACTTTATACTAAAATCTATGACAAACAGGATGATTTCAACTTCCCAATTATCAATTTTCCATTTCTCAGCAGTAATATACCATCTGCTCCGTCGTATAATGTTTACATATCTCAATTGATACGTTATTCTCGTGCATATTCACACTATACGGACTTCATATACAGCAGTGTGCTCCTTACACAGAAACTGCTCCAACAGTTATGGGAAGAAAAGATTAAAAATCACACTCCGTAAATTTTATGGACACCATCACGAATTGGTTGATCTATACGATGTGTCTGTGTTTAAACTAACTAACGACATTTTTACCACGTCTTAGATTGTGGTTTAACATTTATGTCGTCTGTCTGCTAAGTACCGAACGTGACCTATTCCCGAATATGACTGTTTTGCCGAGTGTGAACTTGCATTGCAATACGACGTGTCTCAGTATTTATACATCCAACCTTCATATTTAGTTATGATGTTTCTTTTGTGGGTTCGGTTGGACACTGTGTTATGTCTTATCGCTTGTGGGTTGAATCCTGTATTTTCAGAACATTTCACAGATGTCTTATTTGTCAGTATAGTCGATCGAGTTAATTTCCATTTTCCATGGATAAAGTATTGTGTTAGTCCAAATAATTATGACGTCGACACAGCATTAATTTAAAATAGCCTTTCAAGACCGTCATAATTAGGATGATTATTTGGAAAATAGTATTGTGAATATAATTGTGAATTTTGGAATTCGTTCCATATAATTGTATGAATTTCAAGAGTATATACGGCACAAAAATACGTCACTGTTTGTGGTGTCATGTGCTGTCGTTAATGGAAGATGTTCGTTGTTATTCTGCGGTTTACATGTTGTAATGTACTATAATATTTTTTTATTTATGCGTTTCTCTGTGCTGAGTGTTCTTGCATTTGTTTGTACTGTATTCCTGACACGTAGTGTTGTAATTTTAGGGATATTTTTTAACATTGCCATATAAGCGGGAGGTTTGGCTAGCCATAAAACCAGGTTCAACCCACCATTTTTTCTTAAAATGTCCTGTACCAAGTCCGTTATCAAATAGTCCGTTTCTATGTAGGTGGCGTTTGGTTTTTGTTGCTGTTTCTGTTGTTCCGCTGTTTTCCTCTTATAGTTAATGTGTTTCCCTCGGTTTTAGTTTGTAACCTTGATTTGTTTTCTCTCAATCCATTTATGGCTTTTGAACAGCGGTATACTACTGTTGACTTCATGTATCTTATTCGAAAACCAATTTCAAAGCTTTGGACATTCGAGTCAATCTGATATTGAAGTGAAAAAAGGCAACACAAATAAAAGACAACAGTTCAAAAATGATCAACATACAAATTTTGCTACAGGTCCGGTTGTGGTTTAAGAACATCCCCACTCATAAATTGAGTTTTTCAAAAAATTCTACCAAATACAAATATTTTATAAGAAAATCAAAACCCATTTGTATATTTCCAAGCTATCAGACATACAATCTGTGACATCTTATTTTGACACATGGGATCATTCATATTACTGTGGATTCATTTGTTTTCGTGGGTAAATCTGAGTTGAACTATTGGTATTTTAAGAAAAGCTACATACAGATACATTTGTACATATATCAGATATTAGAATGTGAGCTCTTATTATTGTGATACTCAAGTGGACGCATTATTTGCATAAATAAAATCCTTGCAATAATTTCTGAATTTACAGTACTCATTAGAACACATTGAGACATATATACACATATTAGAACACATGGAGACCTTAATATACTCACTAGAATACATGGAAATCAGTATGTATTAATTAGAACACATGGAAAACTTAATATACTCACTAGAATACATGGAAATCAGTATGTATTCATTAGAACACATGGAGAACTTAATATACTCACTAGAATACATGGAAGTCAGGATGTTATTCATTAGATTTATTAATTGATTGGTGATTGTTTTACGCCGCATCAGCACAAAAAGGCTATATCCCTGCGATGTATTGATTAGAACACATGGAAACCAAAATGTATTCATTAGAACACATTGGGACCTGTATATACTCATTTCAACCGAAAACAAATGTTCTACCAATTAAAGCCTTTGAAACTATATATGTTACAAAACAACACAATGCTCATTTCTAAAAGAAGCTTCATGGCATTTTGCACAAATTATAAAAATCCTTTACAAATTTGTACAATATCTGGTTTAGAAGTTAATCTGTATCTGTAGAAGGTTTATTACAAACAGGATAATGAAGATGTTATTTGTGTAGTTGAATTCAAATATATCCCATGTTAAGTTAATTTTATTGTAGTTACTAGTTTGATTAGTCAAGCCATTTCCAACTTATATTTAGTTTGTGCTTATGTTGTGCTGTTACACCACTGTCAAAGGTTAGTGGAGGGTTGAGCCCTAACAAACAGAATACCCCCTCCCCACACACATTCTTTAAGTGACTGTTCTGTAAACCAGTGGTTTGTTGTTGATTGTTGTTTGCCATAAGTGTTTTTATTCATTGTTTTTTGGCATACTTTAGGCATTTTTTTGGTTTCCTCTTTTTTGCATGCTATGTCTATATGGAAAGTGTACTACTCATTGTTGTATATAGTATAAGGACTTGTAGTTTTTCATCTTTGTTGTCCTTTGGCTTCTGGTGGTTAGTTGTCTCAATGTCAATCATACACCTCCTGATTCTTACATTCAGGCTAATTTACCTTAATCTATTACAGGTACTGTTTGAAATGTCCGAATAGTGAATATCAAAATGGGACTAACTTCCCTATTTGTTGTTGATTGTTGTTTGCCATAAGTGTTTTTATTCATTGTTTTTTGGCATACTTTAGGCATTTATTTGGTTTCCTCTTTTTTGCATGCTATGTCTATATGGAAAGTGTACTACTCATTGTTGTATATAGTATAAGGACTTGTAGTTTTTCATCTTTGTTGTCCTTTGGCTTCTGGTGGTTAGTTGTCTCAATGTCAATCATACACCTCCTGATTCTTACATTCAGGCTAATTTACCTTAATCTATTACAGGTACTGTTTGAAATGTCCGAATAGTGAATATCAAAATGGGACTAACTTCCCTATAAATCAAATAGTTGATCATTAAATGAGACTTTGATTAAATTGTGTAAATTTACACAAATGTCAAAGTCGAAAATGAAAAATTTATAGCCAACAATTTCTGACATATTATTCAGATTCCATTTTGTCATAATAACTTGTGTTCATTTCTTGCTTTTACTTTTTATTTACAAAACCTAAACATTTGAAATTAAATTAAGAAATTATGTGCATTTATTTATCACTGGTGATCAACTAACAAACATGTGAGTTACTATTGAGAATTCATAAAAATAATGCAATCCAAATTTAAATCAGCCAAACAATTTCAAACATATTTTGCATCAGAAATTTAAATCAAAACAAAAATTTCTAAATTTATAATTGTTGAAAGCATCTTTTATTCTCTCATCAACAGAATGAACTGACCACCATAAGTTACTGTCAATATTGCATACCCCACATCTCAATTCATTCCAGTAGACCCCCCCTAATCCAATTTCCACTAAACTAATATATCGGCTATTGTAATATTATTTCAAAACACCAAACCCTCTCATATTTGTTTAATGTAAATTTTATCAGGTAAATGAATATCAGATTTAAGAATATATCAGCAAATCGGATAGGAATATTCATGAAAATTTTGTCAAAAACAACCTCAATCTGATAGGAAATGAAGCTAAAAGTAACTCAATTACAATCTTGCAGACAAGAAAATTTTGTTTCTGCTTAACAAAAGGGACTGTTTCCTAATAAAACTGTTGTACTTTGTATTCATTAATATTTGTGGGTACCAATTTTTGTTGACATCAAAGGTATAGGAAAAACATAAATTTAAATGTTCAATGTAGTATAAAATTTCTAAGGCTTGTACACAAACTTTTGTAAAACAATAAAACTCAAATATCCACGAAATAATTTTTTACCTCAATCCACGTGAAATTCCTTCCTATGGGAAATAAATGAATCCACAGTATGTCAAAACAACTGTTATCGTTCAGATAAAATAATTTTTAATTTCTTTGAATACGACAGCCATATTTCAAGAGAAAAACTGACAGGTTAAAACAGAAGACTAAAGACTCATTGCTTTTGATAATTTTATTCTTTCAACTTTGTAATGAAATAACCCCCCCCCCCCCTTTTTAAATCACATAGATAATAACTTGAAATAGAGCAAAGCTCCCACTTATAAATAAATGAATAATGTTGTCATTTTAGCGGTATTTTAAACATTGCTATATAAGCGGGAGGTTTGGTAGCCATACAACCAGGTTCAACCCACCATCTTTTCTTAAGATAGCCTGTACCAAGTCAGTAATATGGCAAATGTTATCACGTTTTTATGTATGCTGGCGTTTGTTTTTGTAGCAGTTCAGTGTTTCTGTTGTACCGTTTTGTTTCCTCTTATAGTTGATGTGTTTCCCTCAGTTTTGGTTTGTGACCCGGATTTGTTTCAGTTAAATCGATTTATGACTATTGAACAGCGGTATACTACTATTGCCTTTATTTGTCATAAAGTTAAAAAAAAACCACCCAAACTTATTTCCATAAAAAAATAATACCAAACTTATATACAGACTATCTTATTCAGATATTTTGCTATATTTTTTTATATGGGTGATGTTTATAAAAAAAAAAACGCTTTCCTAATAACTTTTATCGACTGAGAATCTAAAAAAACATTTTGTGAATAACTTCCGTGCCCAAGAAGTCTACCAGTCAACCAACAGCAGTATTTACTCAGTGGTAGATGCTTCAAAATATATTTAGTGCGTGCAAAGCCCAAAATTTGAAAGCCATGGAAAACTAAATACTTATATAATCGAGGAGGTATGTGACCAAAAGGGATATCAAAAGAAAGAAAGAATTGTCACATCAACCTAGGTCAACTGTGCCTGCATGGAGTCCTTGTCAACCTATCGATGATTAATGCATGTATGAGTATACAATATACAGCAGGCATGGGGCAAATTACATTACAATTACTTAAACAAAACCAGCATTATATTACAATTACAATTACATGTATTTTGGACAGTAATGCATTAAATTACAATTACTTTACCAAAGAAATGCATTATATTACATATTACATTTTATAAATTTTATTATCAGAAGAAACATACATAAAACATTCTATACTGCAATCTTGGTAACTATCAAATAGATATTATAAAAATCCTTTCATTGCCCTATAGACCAAATGACAGCAGTCAAACAAATGTGATTAGCTTCCTGAAGGTTATCATACAATTTTTTACATACATCCTAGTCCTTAGTCTGTATCAATTTAGATGAGAGATGTTTTCGGCTTGGAATTTGAAAGTTTGGGTTAAGATTTTCTATAAATTTCTTAAACTTTTGCTTTCAACTGTTTAAATGGGAGCAAATCACTTCTAGCAATATACTCGAAAAGTGGATCTATAGCTTTGTTTTGCTTTGGGTCATTTAATTGATATTTCTGAATACCAGATGGAATTACAAAGTTTGCCAAGGTTGATAGTTCTTCTGGGTCAGGCTTTTATATATCGAAGTATTTTCTCACAAAAGCAATAACAGAATTTATTCTTCCATTATGTTTTTTTTATTTATATATTGTTGACTTAATCTCAATGTTAATTAATTACTTTAAAATCACAAATTCACTTGTCAAAAGAAAGGAATTGATTGCTATACAAACTAATTTGTGGTTTTAGTCATTCAACTTATTTCTTTCATGTTTAAATATCATGTATTGGTTTTTCAATGACTATAATGGTATATGAAAATGACTACAAATAAATATCAATTTTACTTTTGTATGTTTAAAAATAGATCTGTTTTAATTATTAGTATAAATGTTTTAGTATTAAGATAAGATGAAGAAAATTATAAGTTTTACAACAGTTCAAATTTACACTTTTTTTTAATCCTTTAAGTAGACATTGATTTGTGTTTAATTTTCATATTTTCTTAAAAGAAAGAATACAGCGGTAGTACTTATTATCCCTGACATTTGTAGCAATTATCAGAAGGGAAGTAATGCTATATAATGCCATGTAATGCATAAATTACATGCATTTTTGCCAATGTAATGCATTACATTACTATTACATGTAATGCAAAAAAAATTGGCATTACACATTACATGCATTACTTGGGGAATTGTAATGCATTACAGGGCATTACAATTACAAATTAGCATTACTCCATGCCTGGTATACAGGAACATTAAACACATTTAACAACAACAATGATCACAAAAATCTTGTTTTTATGATCACAATGATGCAGGTGAAATACAAAAGAGGGCTTATAAATTTAAAATAGTTTATAAAATATAAAAAATACAAATTAAATTTAAATATCCAGCATGAGGTATAATTAAAGGCAACAGTAGTATACCGCTGTTCGAAATTCATAAATAAATTGAGAAAAAAACAAATCCGGGTTACAAACTAAAACTGAGGGAAACACATCAAATATAAGAGGAGAACTACGACACAACAGAAACACAACATTAAAATGTAACACACACAGAAACGAACTATAATATAACAATGGCCATTTTCCTGACTTGGTACAGGACATTTTAAGAAAAGAATGGTGGGTTGAACCTGGTTTTGTGGCTAGCCAAACCTCCCGCATTTATGGCAATGTTAAATATAACATTAAAATGACAACATTACATGACATGTACAGGACTACAATACAAATAAATGGGAGAACATATAGAACAGAGAAACATACGAATAAAAGCTAACAAAAGGTACCAGGTTTAAAATTTAATACGCAAGACGCGCGTTTCGTCAACACAAGACTAACCAGTGACGCTCAGATCAAAAAAGTTCGAAAGCCAAAACAAGTACAAAGTTGAAGAGCATTGAGGACCAAAAGTTCCAAAAAGTTGTGCCAAATACGGCTAAGGTTATATGTCTGGGATAAGAAAATCCTTAGTATTTAGAATAGTTCATACTTTTGCAAACAGTCAATTTATAAAAATGACTATATAATAGATATACATAAGAGTAACTATATGCCCCTTGAAGGTAAAAAATGAAAATTTGTAAGACAAAATTCTAAGTTATATATACTAATGTCTGGCTGAAAATGTCTTAGGAACATATGAAGGATGCTATATGATAAATTTATCGGTTATATCATACCTTCTTCTTTAAAATATGTAAAACAAAAATAACGCACCTAGTTTTTCGTACAGTACATTTTGTAACTTATAACATTTTATCGAAATTACTAAACAATTTCATATCAGTACATTAAATTTCATTCTCCAAATATAAATAAACTATACGACTGCTATCTCATGTATGAGAGTTCTACTGCTTTTGGTATAATTTCATCTTAATTTTGAGAGGGTTTAAGAAGAATCATTCCTATATGCTGATTTCTCCACATTTTAACAACTTCTACTTTTGACTGTTGGAACAAATGATGCAGCTGCTTTTCTGTGTATTTATAAGTAACGCCACCTCCTTCATTAAGATAAATCTTCTCGTCTTCCTCAAGCTCAACATTCATTTTCAGGCTATCTGTATCTTCGAAAATGTATAAATGTAATCAAAATAAACAAAGCATATTCCATTTTATATAAAATCGAATTAAATGGATTAAAAAAAACATGGAAATATAGTTTACATATTGAAATTTGACAGATTTCAGGGATATGAATACGTTATATAACGTTTTTTAACATTTAACTTCCTTTAACCACCATGCATGAAATGCTTTTCTAGACAGCTAAGTTACTGAAGAACACGATGCAGTCCTCTCAATTTACAGTATGCGAAGATTATGTTTCTACACAAGGAAATGCCTCTACCAAGTCAGGATTATGACAGTTGCTTTCCATTCGTTTGATGTATTTGAGCTTTTGATTTTGCCACTTGATAGGGGACTTTCCGGTTTCTTTTTTACCTTGGAGTTCTGTATTTTTGTTATTTTACGTTTTTGTGAAAATGTGAATAGTTTACTCCTAAGTCTCCAGTTTACTTTACTAAATACTAATGATACAGATTGTCATGAATTGTGAAGTGATAAAGAGAATGGCGTAAAACTCTGTTAAAACAAATAATATCTTTTATATATCATATATGTGTGCCTTAGATTTATGTGTATTTGTATTTCGAAACTTTTTGTCTCATCCACATTTAAAAATATTTATTTCGGTCACTTGATATCACCCCGGATTTTTATGAAGTTCGTGTTGCTCAGTCTTTAGATTTCTGTTTTGTTTTGTAGCCTATATTGTTTGTCATTTGGTCGTTTTTTGCGTTTTCCCCATGGCGCTGTCAGCTTGTCTTCGTTTTATGAGGTTGAAAATACATTGGTATCTTACACCTCCCTCTTATAATACAACAATGTTCCATGCTAGAGACTCATCCGAGTTTTCGACACAACCGAGTTCGACATAACGAGGTTCGATTGTATAGGTGTTACGTGTCTCTGTAATGGCGCATTGAGATTGATACATACATGTACACATGTTTTAGTGTCGCGAAAATGTAATTGGGATTGTTTTTATTAACCATACGTTCACAAGTTTAATTATTTATATTTTACCTATCATAAATGATTGTTTTGTCAGTGATCTCAGCCATATAAACATGGCACCTGGCTTTTGATCTTGATCATCAGTAATAAATTCCCCTTCTAATACAAATTTTGCCATGTCAATGTGAGTTCCAATTTCCCGGTTCAATCTGTTTAAAGTATTCCAGTATAATTTTTTATGATGACCTGCAATGAGTAAAATTCTTCTTACGATTTTCAAGGCTTTCCTCTTTGTAAAAAGATGATATAACGTATAAACAAACAACATGTCCCAAATACGTATACTTTGACTAAAACATAATCATTACTTTAGTTAACAAAAAGATAGTCATTGAAGAGATGTCGTTAAAAAATTGAAAACATTGGTTAAAAACAAAAACAGACATACAATTAAAAAAAAAACAGACATACAATTAAAAAAAAACAGACAACAGATGTGTAATACGAAAAGACATACATTAAGAAACAGACGTTAATTTTTATAGTTAGTTCTTATGTTGTACTGTTACACCACTGTCCCAGGTTAGAGGGAGGGTTGGGATCCCGCTAACATGTTTAACCCCGCCACATTCTGTATGTATGTGCCTGTCCCAAGTCAGGAGCCTGTAATTCAGTGATCGTCGTTTATTTATGTGTTACATATTTTTTTTTCGTTCATTTTTTGTACATAAATTAGGCCGTTAGTTTTCTCGTTTGAATTGTTTTACATTGTCATTTCGGGGCCTTTTATAGCTGACTGTGCGGTATGGGCTTTGCTCATTGTTAAAAGCCGTACGGTGACCTATAGTTGTTAATTTCTGTGTCATTTGGTCTCTTGTGGAGAGTTGTCTCATTGGCAATCATACCACATCTTCTTTTTTATAGTTAAAAAATTATAAAACAGAGATCAAAAACGAAAACAGAAAAAATACTAGAATTAAGAGGTGTCGCCACTGAAAACATGACAACTCAAACCAAAGACAAGTCGGACCAAGACATTCGGACCATCTAAATGAAAACAACTTGTACCACTCTTGAAGACAACTCAGGCCACTTTTAAAGACAACTTACGACCAGTAACGTGAAAGATTTTGCCACTGAATAACTTTAACGGTATTTTTTTTTTCTGTTTTGACGTTAACCAATACAATCTTTTTTCTAATCTGTTTTTTTTTTTTTTTTTTTTTTTTTAATTTTACGTCTTTTTTTTTTATTTGATGTCTATTTTCGTTTTTTATGTCTGTTTTTTTTTTTTTTTTATTTTAACGTCTTTTTTTAATCTATCTCTGTTTTCGTTTTTGATGTATGTTTTTTACCTTACATCTGTTTTTTTTTTTATTTTATGTCTGTTTTCGTTCTTCACGTCTGTTTTCGTTTTCGAACAATGTTTTTGATTTTATGTCTGTTTTCGTATTAGACCTCTGTTGTCTTGTTGGTTTTTTATTTATTTATTTATATGTCTGTTTTCTTTTTCTTTTTATGTCTGTTTTTTTTTTTTATTTGAACATCTGTTTTTTTAATGTTATGTCTGTTTTCGTATTTTGAGTCTGCTTTTAATTTAACGCCTGTTTTTTTTATTTTTTATAATTCTATGTCTGTTTTTTTTATGTCTGTATTCGTTATAACCTCTGTTTTTTTTTACGTCTGTTAGTACTTTTTTATGTCTGTTTTCTTGTTAAATTTGTTTTTGTTCTTAACGTCTGCCATTAAATTTCTGTTTAATTTTACCCGAATGGCTGCCCATAAATATGAGTGTAAATAAGTATATTGAAAATATCGTAAATTTGAATAAATGTTAGTTACCATAGAAGCAGATGTAAACAATCTAAACATGACAGTTTAGTCTTTCATTTTTACTCTTTATGATAAAAAATTTCATTATCACTATTATATGTATTTCGACTGGATATCCAGTTGTATAGTAAAATAGTGATATATCTTGATCTTATATTAGCCTTTTTAGTCTATAGATAGATTTTGATACCTGCTGGGTCCAAATAAGCTTTTTCTATTGTATTTTTATCCTGTGTCATATCAATTGTAATTAGGAGCCGGTCGTCGTCTGAAAAAAGAATAACGAAGTATATTATTCAAAAACATTATAGCAATCGTAATTTACAAGAAACATTTAGGCGCAATAATGTTATAATTGGTTCGTTAACTATAAAATAAGAAGATGTGGTAGTATTGCCAATGAGATAACTATTTAACCAGAGCCCAAATGATGTGGATTTAAACAACTTTATGTCACAGTTTGCCTTCAACAATGAGCAAACACATACAACATAGTCGTCTATTGTGTGTTGGAATAGAGAATGGTAAAAGAGAATGTATGAAAAAAACAAAAATTCGTCCAAAGAGCAGAAAACGGCCAAGGCAACCAATGAGACGCACCGAGAAAATTATGCAAGGTGGGTTTCTAAACAATAAATTATACTAGTTCAGCGAAATGGACGCCAGTTTGGAAGGATTTAGTCAGTAAAATATTGATATGCAATGATTTTATTAACGATGTGAATTTGATAATGACTTATAGATTGTTCTCTTTTAAGTGAAACGTTTGTAGCATTTTTATATAGCTTTAGAATTAAAGCTCATTCAAAGTAAAACAGCCGTACGTCATACGCTGATAGAAATTCTATAAGTATGAATTTGAAAAAGTGTGAATCTCATTATAAGAAGTATTATTCAGAAAGCTTACAAGTGTCAATATTGTTTATAAATCACCCTCCCTTTTGGGCTCACAAACTTATGGATAAAGGTAAATAATTAAACTGCTGTTATACAATCATTGTGTGTTTTATTTTGAAGACTAATAGACATTTTCGAAAACTTATCGACACTGACGCTTACACCTATGCCTAGGACGACAGGTAACCTTTTAAGGTGGGGTCATCTTAAGGTGTACAATGAGCGCAGGCATTTATGAAAAAAATTATATATAATTTACACTTTAAATACTGTATAAAAAAATATTTTCAATGATTTGTTGATTTATTGGCTCTGCTTAGAAGCTGAGAATTGGCCGATCTTCATATTATAATTTTTAAAAAAGGGGGCTTGGCTTTGTTTAAATTAGTGGAACTTTCCACAGAAAGTCAGGATTCTACTTCGTCAAAATCATCTCTCAATAACGCCAATTAATTTTTTCAATCGTGAAAATGGAAGCCATTGTAGGGATGACCCGCGCTGTCAACTTAGCTCTTGGAAACCGATAAATATATCTACTTTGGCATAATTACGATCGTTACATGACAGTTGTGTTTTAAAAAACAAATGTTTCTACTAGCTATAAAGCATCTCATGTACTTTTAGGCCTTTTGTCAACTGGTTGTCAGGGGGAAATTTGGAAAGTTAATAAAAACATTAAAATTATTCTATTTAAGTATTATGTGGAAGAGCAGACTAAACATTTGCAGAGGTTGAAGAATAATTAACCTAGATTACACACACAAAAATTTTTTTTTTTTTTTTTTTAGTTATGCATTTTTAAGATCCACTTATAAAGTCATGGACTTTTTGTATAAATCCAAGGAGGAGTTAGCGAACAACATTTGTCCCACTTTTTTTTATACATTTCATAAATAAAATAATTAATATGCCTAAATTTTTCACTAAAAAGTGAGTGAACGAAAGTAAAACAAAATACAACTAAGAAATACACTTCCGTTTTAAACATTCGAAATAGCACGAAGCTTTTCGTATTTTATTCAAACACACCTACTCTGTTGTTATGACACATCAGAAAGATATTTCACTTGATTCATATATTTCCTGTTTTGGTACTGTGAATATGTAATGTTATTATATCAAAATGTAGCCTATATATATAAAAAATAATGGATCTGAAGCGAGAAGCTTTCTACGTTTTCAGGACAAAACAGTCAACTCAAACACGCTTGGACATAAAAAGGTGTACCCGATTTTCTCTTTTGATAAGATGAATACCCATTTTGGTTATTTTACCCCAAAAAATACATGAAATGTAATTTACTGCTTAAAAAAGATCAATCAGTATAATTCTACAATTAGAAGAAAACAGTTGGAATATCACAAATCATCACTAAAAGAATTCCAAAACTGATGAGAGGACTTTGTGTTTCTAGCTCAGATTTTGAATTAAAAATTATAGAAAACCAACTAACGAATAATGAATTTATATTTTTTTTCTACCTCTGTTGAGTCAAACAAAGTTTTACGAGGGAAGTCTTTTTCTTCTATGGGATATCCATCCTATTTGCAGGGTCGCCATATTAAAAATATATGCGTTTATTTTTAAATATAATTTACCTCGTTAATATAGTTATAAACGTTGAATTAAATTCATTAAGTGTATTTTGACATTTTGATACGGTCCCTCTATTTTTTTAGTCAGTGTAGGTATCGGTGTCGGTATAAGTGTCCGTGTAGATGACTTTTCGAAAATGTCTAATATGAATGAAGCTTTACTCCTATGTTCTATGAATGAAGCTTTACTCCTATGTTCTATGGATGAAGCTTTACTCCTATGTTCTATGAATGAAGCTTTACTCCTATGTTCTTTTTTTACCTGTTGCGGTCATGTTTTGCATTTGATTGAACCAATATGAAAATCGTTTGTAGAAGACATGCCATACATCATTACTGCATAGTTGCAACAGATTTGGCGTAAAGGTTTCTTTAGAGAAGATTTTGTACGACTGACGATGGACGACGACGACAACGACGACGACGACGGACACCTTGTGACATAAATGCTGTTTATTATTTCTATTTTTTTCTTTTGTCTTTGTGTTGCCTGTCTTGTTTCAATGTATTGATTCTTATTGCATTCTTGTCCTTGGTGTCGTATTGTTTGTTTTAATGGATTTTTTCTATATGGTATTTGGCATTGATGACTATACTAGGGACAATTTAGATTGATGTCCGCGATTTGACCTCTTCATGTCTTTTGATGTTTGTTTCACTGTGTTGCTGTCTCGTTGACTTAAGCCTGCTTATATCTGCTTTCAACATATTTTAATTATTTTGTGGGGAAAATGAATGGTAAATGTGATACAGTAAAACGTTAATATACCTATCACTTGCATGTATAATAGTCTAAAATATAATAGCTACCTGATTACTTGCAGCAAAACAAAAAACTGATAATGTCATTTCAAGCCGAGAAGTAGTACTCCTTCCCAGTGAACTGGAAATAAAGGACACTACAGAGACAACATACTCTGCTTTCTATCAAGAGATTTTTTTCTCGAAATTGACACTGATGGGTTCGAAACAAGATTAAGTAACAAACTTTATTTGTTTCTATTTTTGAATTTCCAACCTTTAATGTAGCCATGCCACCTGCCAAAGCCTTTATCATTAATTTATCTTAGTGCATACGATAAACTAGAGAATTTTGTCATTTTTGTGTTTTATAAAATCACTTTAGCAAGGTTCGAAGCGAGAACGGTGGTTATAATGACCTTACTATTAGATGGTATTATCCACTTTATAGCCAGTGTACAAGTGCTAGCACGATATTTGTAAATTTAAAATAAAATCATGTATTTTAACTAAAATTAACATTGAAATTTAATCTTAAACTTGACATTATACACAATTACCTGACCCTTTTATACTTGTATTGATGCTCTCAAAAGTTTGATATTTTAGTTTCTTAACTTTAAGTCTCAAGCATAACTGATGACGTATATTAAAAAATATATAATATGCACAGTGAATTCGTTATTTTACTTTTAAATCGTTTTTACTGAATGTTTGATCTATACAATGTGCCCAGTCTCAACACACTAGAGACATAGTTTCGCGGTCTTTGATTGTTAGATACGAGAATAGTTTTCTGAACTGTAAATTAAACGATTATGTCCTATTCCAGATTGTGATATTGTGACTGAGTGTGGATTCGCATGGCTGGCGGTGCATGCAGAGCAGAAAACGCTTAACCTGTCGACGTACCCGGTTTTTGAGTTCATGCTATTTCCTCTGTATTCTTTGTTTACCTTGATTTATATCTTCCTAATGGATTTATGAAATTTGGCTATCGGTAAACTACTGTTGCCTCTAAATTAATATCGATAGTACCAGTGTCAGCATTTAATCTCATCTTCCTATAAATATTTTAACCCTGCCACTTTTCCATTTTTATGTATCCGACAATATAACCGGTTTTGTCATGTCCTGTTTTTGCCTATTACAATACTATATGCTACTTTGAATTCGTATAATGTGTGGTGCAAGCATAGCAGGAGATAGTTAACCTGTCAACACTCATGACCACGGACATTGACCTCAATTACCGCCGGTATATTTTCTTCACATTAATATCTTACTTAACTTGATTTTTTTTATAAGATATTACACTAACCTTTCATGTTTTGTGATATCAGAGATAGTAATTTTATCTGTTTTGGATAATTGCTATTTTGGAAAGCACCACCAATCCAAAGTATAAGTTTCCTGCCATGGTATTCCCTGAAGAAAAAAAACACATTTATATCGATATTGTTGGATTTTATTATTATTATTATTATTATTATTATTATTATTATTATCCTTTTTTAGACAACGCGAAGAAACTCAACGTCATCTATAAATCATAGGTTTACTTGATGTTCAGTTTAGGAAATTTAATACGACTTATATATAATCTTTGGCTATCTATTTTTTTTGTAACAAGTGTACCTTTTCAAGGTTGTTCCAGAAACAGGTCATTATGATGGAAATCATATTATTCTGGTTTTTGTGTATACTTTCCACATGAGATTACAACTAGTAAGGGTATTCATAAATAAATAATTATTATCTTTCAATGCTGCCATGCTGTTTGGAACAATATCAGGACGAAAATGAAACACAATGAATAACCTTTTAATTCTGAATTATCCTTATATTAGCTACATTTCCCATTTAAATGGAGTAAAACAACGGGTGTCACATATGGAACAGGATCTGCTAGCCCTTCCGAATCAACCCCAATTTTTGGTAGGGTTCGTGTTGCTCAAAAAAGACAAACAACAGTATACAGAACCCAACATAAACAAGAGGCTCTCAAGAGCCTGAATCGCTCACCTGTATCAGAGGAGAATATTTTTAAATGTTAGCAAACTTGATGAACAAATTGTGTAAAATTGTCTTTAAAGGGCAATAACTCCTTAAGGGGTCAATTGACAATTTTGGTCATATTAACTTTTTTGTAGATCTTACTTTGCTGAACATTATTGCTGCTTACAGTTTATATATATATCTATAATAATATTCAAAATAATAACAAAAAACTGCAAAATTTTGTTAAAATTACCAATTCGGTGGCAACAACCCAACAATGGGTTGTTCGATTCGTCTGATAATTTCAGGGCCGATATATCTTGACCAATTAAACAATTTAACCCCATGTCACATTTGCTCTAAAAGATTTAGTTTTTGAGATATAAGCCAAAAACTGCATTTGACCCTTATGTTCTATTTTTAGCCATGGCGGCCATGTTTGTCGATGGATACAAACTTCGGATACAATTTATAAACAAGATACCCTAAGTAACATTTAGTTAAAGTTTGAAGGTAATTAGCCCAGTAGTTTCAGAGAAGAAGATTTTTAAATGTTAGCAAACTTGATGAACAAATTGTGTAAAATTGTCTTTAAAGGGCAATAACTCCTTAAGGGGTCTAATGACAATTTTGGTCATATTAACTTTTTTGTAGATCTTACTTTGCTGAATATTATTGCTGCTTACAGTTTATATATATCTATAATAATATTCAAAATAATAACAAAAAACTGCAAAATTTTGTAAAAACTACCAATTCGGTGGCAGCAACCCAACAATGGGTTGTTCAATTCGTCTGAAAATTTCAGAGCTGATAGATCTTGACCAATTGAACAATTTTACCACATGTCAGATTTGCTCTAAAAGCTTTAGTTTGTGAGATATAAGCCAAAAACTGCATTTGACCCCTATGTTCTATTTTTAGCCATGGCGGCCATGTTTGTCGATGGATCAAAACTTCGGATACAATTTATAAACTAAATACCCTAAGGAACATTTAGATAAAGTTTGAAGGTATTTGGCCTAGTAGTTTCAGAGGAGAAGATTTTTGAAATAGTTTACGACGACAGACGACGACAACAGACGACGACGACGACAGACGACGACAGACGACGGACGACGACGGACGCCAAGTGATGGCATAAGCTCACATTGGGCCCTTCGGGCCCCGGTGAGCTAAAAACTAAAGACTCAATAACACGTGCCCTCATAAAACATTACATAAAACAGTGTCAATACCTTTAAGATTTGAAATAGTAGCTGAAATCAACTATTACGATTTTTTGCTAAATTGTTTCAGTGTTTATCAAAAGTCCATAAGTCCATGAACTATATTTTTGAAAACTTATTATTTTTATTCAAATACATAAAATACATAAGGAATATGAATATGTACCCATGACATAAGGTATACTCACATAAGTTTTGGAATTGCATCATGATATTCTCCTGCTAATGACTGAATTACTAGTTGGTTCCTGTACAATTGTGTCAACCTAGTACTCGTTTTTGTAAGTTGTTCTGAAACAATTGTTTCTTATTATTTATCATGAAAAGACTGCCGTAGAAACCCTTGTTCTTTTGGCGGAATAAGCATAGCCATACATAAAAAGAGTTCAAACGGAAGTCTTGCTTTTAAAGAAAGGGAAACATTATCCTAGCTTCACATTTTTAGAAACTCCCGACCCTAAAAAAAATATATTGTAGTATCAGTTCGTTAAGGTTATTAACATGCATCATAACATTGCTGTACAATATGCTTTAATTGTACTGGTTCACTAATTTAAATCTTGTGTAGTGTGAACTGAAGAGGTTACATAAAATTCCATGTGGATAAACAACAAAGTATATGTGCTGATCACTGTTTCTCATTGTCAGTCTTCCATTCGTGTCGTTGTTTTTACTCTCTCTTTAAGTTCAGTCTTTAGTTTTCTATGTTGTGTTTTGTTTACTGTTGTTTGTCTTTTTGGTCCTTTTCATTTTTGTCATGGCTTTGTCAGTTTGTTTTCGACTTATGAGTTTGAATGTTCCTTTCGTATCGTTCGTCTCTCTTTTAGACCATTGACTTTTAATGACTTTACGATTTATCGATTGTTATACCAGGCATTCCTCAATTTATTCTCCCTGTATCTCTCCTTCATTTTAGACCATTGGCATGACTTCTAATTACTTTACGATTTATCGATTGTTATACCAGGCATTCCTCAACTTATCATCCCTGTATCTCTCCATCATTTTTGTTTCTCTCCTTTTTGATTTTAGGGTTTTCATTTTGTTTGTTATGTTTTTCACCCATTATTATGTGGAAATATGTCACTAGGCACTGTTACAAAAATAGCGGGTAATTAAAAAAAACAATTAAATCTAACTATACCTTTTGAGAAGTATGCTTTATATTCCTCTTTTAAGTATCTTTAGACAATACAAACCTTCACAAATATCTACAGGTATGTATGATAGCGATGTTTCAGTTTTGAAATATTCATCCAGAAAGAGGCAAGTCTTCTCTGCGTTACCACAGCCCAGGTCAACTACTGAACACGGCCTTGGAGCACTCTCGGCTACTTCCTACATGAAAAATCGACACATTCTCATTTTTTTGAATTTGTCAAACACATTTCATAAATTATTTGTTCAAATAAAAGACCGACCGCAGGAATATCTTTCTTTGGACAATCCTGACACCGAGGTGTGTTAAATGAAAAGAAAAATATCCATTATCTGACTTTTATATACCTAAGTATATTTTAGCTCAGCACATATCAAACTTGTCTCGCTGATGACTTTTTGGTACCTGTGACATCTTATAAACATTTACTTGTTTTACCTGCAATTCGCAAATGTTGACGATTTAGGATTTTGCTGTCATAGTAATTTTGAGCACGCTGTTCGTTCTTCTAACCTTATATGGCTTTCACGGTGTAGAACTGCTCTGGCGTATTGAATTTTAAGCCTAGTACCTTTTGTTAGCTATTATTCGTGTGTTTCTTTGTCCTATATGTTCTTCCATTTATTTGTATTGTGGTCCTGTCATGTGATGTCGTTTTGGTGTTGTGTTTGACGTTGCCATTAAAGCGGGAGGTTGGGCATGCCACAAAACCAGGTTCAACCCACCATTTTTTTCTTAAAATGTCCTGTACTAAGTCAGGAAAATGGTCATTGTTATATTATAGTTCGTTTCTGTGTGTGTTACATTTTTATGTTGTGTTTTTGTTGTGTCGTTGTTCTCCTCTTATATTTGATGCGTTTCCCTCAGTTTTAGTTTGTAACCCGGATTTGTTTTCATCTCTATCGATTTATGAGTTTCGAACAGCGGTATACTACTGTTGCCTTTATTTAAGTCAATGAAATATCAAGATTTTCTTCAGAAACAAATAAATAAATAAATGGTTTTATATCGTAAGTAACTGTACATACAAATATCAATTCAGTCTATATGATTTTGATGCTCAAAACCTTCGCAATGACCTGGAAAAATGTTACCAAAAAGGATGACAATATGATAACATAACGTTTTCATGATTGTTGGTACTCCTCGCGAATGTGAAAATTTCGTAATACAAACACAAATAAAATTTAAACTTTTATTCTTTGCTCTTGAATTAAAAAATTCTTCCCTAAATTATTTTTTTCAAAAAAGTAAAGCGCATTATATTTGCTGCTTTAGATATGAATTAATGTATCATTTATCGCTTACAGCTGAAAATTACAGAATGGGGTTTGTCTTGTACCATCTAGAGTCAACTTTTCTTTAGTTTTGTTACATCAGCTAAGAATCTATCATGTCTATAGTATTGTACTTAATAAATCAAAACAAATTAATGGCTTGAACTGATTAAATTTTTAGGTTTTTTTTACCGTGGTCTGACATATAGTCTAGATCTACATTCACGAAAATAAGAAACAGCTGATTTCATTCTTTTCAAATATATAATAATATCAATACTTTTTTTTACATATCTTCCAGCAATTAGTTCCTTTCGAAAAAAAACATCAGTTATTTACGTTGGTACTCACCTCGAAGAAAAGTTTAAAACGTCATACCTGCACGTATTCTTTGATGATACTTTTCTCAAACTTGTAAAAGTAGTAAAATTCATTTTTCTTGAGGCTCTCGTTAAAAAAGGCACAACCGACTTCGTCATATGCAAACCAGGAAGGGATATGTTTTGGACAGCTGCTTAACCCACTATTTAAATATGTTGAGACGTTCATGATTGCAGCTAAAATACAAAAGTTAGAGAAGCATCTGAGTGTAATATCATTTGTTATGAAAGCTTGATCGTACTATATTAGTAGAGCAAACTTATGTTTACTATGCGTCGACAAGGTAAGAGTCTCCACCTTTGCATGCACCATACGCCATTCCATTCCACGTTCAGTCAAAATGTAACAATTGGCAATAGCACACAATCGGTAAAATTACAGATCTGACGACTATTTTAGATACCAAAGGGACATTCAAACTCATAAGTCGGAAATAAACTGACAACGTTATGGCAAAAAATTAAAGACAAAACAACGGTATAGAAAACACAACACAGAAGATTAAAGACTGAGCCATACGAAGCCCCCCCCCCCCCCCCCCCCCAAAAAAAAAAAACCGGGAGTGATCTAAGGTAAATATATAAGACAGAGAAAACATGTCGCCGTGAGTTGAGACACAGACACATCGTATCGGTAAATAAAATCGTTAAGGTGTGCGGCTCCGAACTTTTGTAGTGTCGATTTCAGACGTCCTTCCTCATAACTGTGCTGGAGGAGTTTTGGTAAAAGGAGCACACTCCTGTTTATAAAGTCTGTATAGTGTAAACTTACACATGCGTAACGTTTTAATTGCGATATGTAAACGCCACTGGCATACAATGGGGCAGAAGGTAAAACTTTCAATGCAAAAAAAAGGCTTCACAGTCCATCAACCAACAGGATGATATATCTACACATATACACATCTATAAGCTGCAAGATGTCACACATATACTTGTTGATGTTAATGAATATCCGTAATTGGCAAACTTTCGGTTTTAAATACTCTTCAACTTCGTATTTGATATGGCTTTCCCATTCTATTGGAGCGCCACTGATGAGTGATAAAGAAAACAAATGTACTGTGGATTCATTTGTATTCGTTGCATACCAATTTTTGTGGATTTCGTGAGTACAGGGGAACCACGAATTTAAATGTTCAACGAATTACAATTTTTCTGAAGATATGTATGCAGACTTTTCCAAAACCACGAAATCAAATATCCACTAATATGCAAGTTTTCCTCAAACCACGAATATTGGTTCCCACGAAAACAAATGAATCCAAAGTACATTAGACTGTAGTCTCCTGACATGGTCAAAAAGTAAAATTATAAAAATACTGAACTCCAAGGAAAATTCAAAACGGAAAATCCCTTATCAAATTGCAAAATCAAAAGCTCAAACACATCAAACGAATGGAAAACAACTGTCATATTCTATGCTAATTTATCGAAATTATTCATAATTGTTCATTCGCATAGCAATATTATTGTAAAACAAATTATTGCCAAAATCAACTGAAATGATCTCCTTCGACACATATTTGAATATAGATTAAATTTAAAATGCCTGTTCAATTATATATAAAAAACAATAAATACAATATTGATTATAAAATCAAATGTTCTACACTGTAAGTTGCATTAAAACGGTGACGATTGTAGCCTTGAAAGCATAAATTACACATACCTTTGTTTTAATCTTTTCTTATATTTTGTCAATATTTATGGAAATACTGCCACTTAGAGTCAACCATGTATTATGCTGAATTTCTTCGTTCCACTGCGTACAAATTAAGTATGCAAATTAACAAAGTTAATAATTGTAACGTAAATACTTTACATCATCATCATCTTCTTGAAAGATTAAATTATTGATCGTTGTCACTTCAAAGTTCCATTTATCTCTTGTTTTGTTTGTAAATCATTCAATTATTCATTGTTGTGAAGCAAAATAATAATAAAAAGAGCTCGGTTGACTGCAAAGATATATATTGGTTATTTAAAATGGCAATCGCATACATGTATTACAAAAGAGATGTGAAAGATACCAAAGGGATAATCAAACTCACAAGTCGAAAACAAACTGTCAATGACATGGCAAAAACCAAAAAAAAACGACCAAAAGACAACAAATAGTACACAAAACACAACATAGTAAACTAAAGGCTTAGCAACACGAGCCCCGCCAAAACCTGGGGGTGATCTGAAATTCTAAGGTTTTATTCAAAGCCTAGTTCGCGTTTTCCTTCTCATGTGATATTTCATTAAGAGACTAGGGGGATTAGATTTCATTTCGCCTGGTGTAAAGTGCAATGTGATTTATTAATATCAGGTCCGTCATTCGTGTGTTATCTTAAAGAAATATCCACTTAGTTAAATGGGACCAAACTAGGCTAAAATCACACTTTATGGTCAACTTTAAAAGTAATGATTCATTTACCGGTCGACCGTGAATGACCGAAAGGACTGTTCATATGTTAATTATATTCGATTGATATTAAATAAGAATGATGATGTTTTGATCTAGCATTAAAGAATGGTGCCCATTTGAACTTCAAATAGTAGAAAGTAAGGAACATAATCTAGAATGCAACAGATGAGAACAATCTGAGAGGAGATACGCGTCGCTAGGTAAACTATAATTGCGTCATTTAAACTTAGAATAACAAACAATTGGCATAATTAGCACAATCTTTGGTAATTCTTTGCAATTACTGGTTCGATATCACAACTGGTGAATGTTTCGTTCCCGAATGTATCACGAGTAGTCAGCACTTTTGAGTTCAAAATAGAATATTAGGTTCAATTTCTATAAATTTACTGTTAATAAAATGTGGACCATTCGAAACAATTCGGTAGGTCACATTCGAGGAAAAGAAGACGGGATTGCGGACATGACAATTAGAACACATGCGTTGTCATTTGTGAAACCGATATTGAATAACGGTTAACCAAATCGTGATTGCGTCTGTAAAATTTTCAAAGGGATGGTTTCAACTTCACCATTTGGAACTCTTAGTTCAACAGCTTCATTGTAAGCAGCAACCCTCTATCAAGGATATCATAGTAGGAAATGCAAGCTCTGGAATATCGTATAAACTGGTAGATATATACTCAATATACAGGCGCTGCAGGAATAGTGTTACATAGAAACTGAAACTTTACAATTGGGAAGCTGAAATCATCACTTTTGTCGTAAAGTTTTGTTCTCAACCGACCTTCATTGTCAATTTCTAGATGTAAGTCAAGATATGAGACAGACTTAACTGTATCTGTTGTATTCTTTATTTTCTAGTTCGATGGGATCGATGCATTTAACATAGTCACCAAACTTTTAATCATTTAGTAAGAGGACTTCATCAATAAAGCGGAACGTGACGTTAAAGGATAACGGTATCTTCTTTTCATTTTTCCTTTTGGTGTGAAGTCAGCCTCATTGTCAAGCATCTTGATAATGTCAGTTTCAGAGAATTTTTTGTTTGAATCAGAGTTATTTTTTTTACAGAGTACGATTTATCCCTCCCTAAGACAACATACTTGTATCTACGTTGGCCATTCTTTTTTATGAAACAAAGAAGGACCAATTCTTTCAATTTTTCTTTTAGTTTGGAATGGGGAATACTTGTGTTAAGTAAAAAAAGTCAAATGTTTTAAAACTATTGCAAGAGGAAAAAGACTTAGACTGTATGTACAATTACAGATCTTTGGTATTTATAAGTATCCACATCTGATTCACGCCGCCCGTATAGTAGGTAGTTAGTTTCCTACTAGATTTGAAGATCGGGCCTTGATTGCTGATAAAATAGTTAATAATTTAGAATTTGGAAAGAGGTTTCGTGGAGCACTTGGAAGACCCAGCAATTAAACGTTGTTTGTAAGGACACTTATGTACTTAAGTTAAAGTATCCAATTCAGTAAAGGAAGATCCAGTTCTTCGTCTTTGGTTGAAATTCCAAAGGAACATAGAACGTAAGTTGGTGCAAAGAGAAATATATAACGTATTTTTTTGTCAATTATTTGATGATATTACCTCTGAACGCTGATCATTCTTTCGATAGAAACTTGTTGATGTGATTTATAAATTATATTGAAAACTCCTATACACTTTTGCGCAAAAACTGTTTATATTGATAGCCAATGACACACACTATAGCGGTTAATAGTTAAGTTATAGCAACGACATTCTGGGTGCTCATATCGTAGCTGTTAAGCACTTCATTCTTTGTGGCAATGAACGAACCTGGAACTTTTTTTACGAATGTCCCAGAACGAATTAATTGCATTTTTTATTAAATAGAAAGTAAATGTTGCCAAATAATATATAAATTGAAAGTGAATCAAACACTTTCAAATGTATAGCTGTTTTAAATAGCTCCTTCGATATCCTCTTGATTTAATTGAATGATATGTAATTGTCGCTTCGAAGTATTTTTGAAGAAGGTATAACACTTTACTTCGGCTTCACCTTTTGCTGGCAAGTACATCTATACATGCTGAAGAAGTTTTTGTTTATGTTTGAAGTGTAAACTTATCATTTGGCCTGCAAAAACGGATAAACAAGTTTTAAGTCTTTAACGAAAATTTATCTGCTCTATAGATATATCAGAATCATGACCTAAAGTTGAATGAACCGTATAAAATGCACATATTTGTGATCATTTTATAAATTACTTATAATTAACTGTTCGCATGCTAAATGGAAAAGAGACATGCATCATAAATCGAAGTCAAGCTTAAAAGACAAATTAAAATCAAAGGGCTTGAAAGCTTTGAGGGAAATGATTGCCATTGTTTCCAATTATCCAAAAATAGTTCAATTGTAAATGCATTCGCTTTTCAATTAATTTTGATATGGTGAATCAATTTTAACAATTGCCAACATGCTTGGTACAGTGTATATATACAAATGAACAATATACGTGTTATGTTTTTGCTCTTCATTTTCCTCATTCTTTGACTTTAGGCGTCATATTGCGAAAAACGTTACAACGCTGCAACGCCTTACATGGTCCAAGTCTTAGAACTCTTCCAGAAATAAATTGATTTTAATGACAGTGGGGTATGTGGTCAAGAGAGTTCGATAACAATAAATTCTACCAAGTGTGAAAGCTCTTTGGAAAACGGTCTCTAAGTAACGAGTATTAGACAATGTATTTGGTACGGACAGAAAGACAATGTTCCCAGAGGCGCATGTGACAGGGTATATAAAATGAATTATCACTCTCAAAATGAACTTTTTTCGCTGAAGTAGTATACATTTTGGTTTATGGGCCAGCTGAAGCCCGCCTCTGGGTGCGGGATTTTGGGTGGCCTTCGATTGTTTTCTATTAGTGGTCGGGTTGTTGTCTCTTTGACACAATCCCCGTTTCCATTCTCAATTTTATTATCTACCAGCTGCGTGAGAGGACATTTATCAGTGTTGCGATTTTTCCACTGAACACTGTATTATTCCGGCCACTGTTGCTGTGAGTGTAAAGTGTAGTTAACTGCCAAAAATTAAGTCCATTTATCAATAAAACAAAATCAGACATTTTTCTTCAGAGTTCAATTGCTATTTCTTGATTATGAAGAAGCGTCTGTCTAAGTTTAAGAACATTCCATGAAAGTTTGACAAAATTATTGATGCCTACAAATTATTGAAGCCTGAAAAACTATAACCTGATACTGTACTGTATGTATATATTAACTGCAAAATGATAGTTTCGGAGTTAAAAATCATAAAGAGAATTTGGACTTAAAGATAAACTATGGTAACCGTTTGTCTATGAACGAACCTGTTTTATTTTAATGTTGAGTTTGAATATGCAGTTACAAAAGTCGATTTTCTAAAATTTCTACCTACCGAAGAGGAGTTTGGGGCAATATCTACTCGAAAGAAATATTTCAAACTACAATAATCAGTAATTTGTAAATGGAATATCCCTGCAACAGGAATTATCTAATGGAAATAGTTTCATTTCGGAACGACTCCCGCATGAACGAAATAGAGCACAGCAAAATCAGAGCTACTGTTGTAGTCGAAGTTGGGAATTCCTTTCGTGACGATTAATATAGATTTAGCACAATACTGCTTTCCCGTAAATGTAAACGTTTTTAGTAAAATTAGTAGCTAGCATCCTGGCCCAACCTCATTGTGTCAATATGTAACTTGGGATCCTGGCTCACTGGTTGTCCGAGAATGCCAAGCTAGACTCTACTGTCCAGGAGTGAGCCAGGATCCCAGATTATAAAATTATTAGATTTGAAATTTGTGTTCAAATAAACTGTTGGTGATTCCCCTGTGTTTTATTTTAAACATATTGTATTTGCATAAACACAAATTTGATGAGACACAAGTCAAACAGACTTATGAAGTCTTCTCCATTTAATATATTTAACAATACAATATATAAGACCATGCATACATAACATATTATTTCAACATTTGTATAAATTGGACAGAAAAATTAAGTGGCACAACAGTAGTAGAGAGAAAAAAAATAATAATAGGACACAAAAAACAAGGAAATAAATTAATTAAAAAACAAAAACAAAAACAAAAAACAAAAACAAATAAAACAAAACAAAAACAAAAACAAAAACAAAACTAAAACCAATAAAAAAAAAAAAAAAAAAACCAGTTGAACTTAGATAATGATGTGTGTGGTCATGTTTTACTATCTAAATAATAAGGAATCTTTTCGATCCTCTAATAAACTCAAACACATGTTTAAAGATATTTTCATTTTGCTCCTGAGTAAGTAGACTACTACCCGAGGATAATAGTTCTATATTTAATGG